CCATCTCCAGCTGGGGCTCGATGGCTTCTTTCTGTTGGTGCAACCTTACGGTTTACACTCGGCTTGTTGTCCGTGTACATGTGTGTGTGTGTGCGTGCATGTGTGTGTGCATGTTGAAATAAATATAAATTTCATGCTTATAATTGTGTGTGAATGATGGGTCATAATGTCGAGTGTGTGTGTCGAGTCAATAGCGAATTATCTCTAGTCGCGTGTGACGTGGTCATTTTGTGTGTCCCGCGCGGTTTCTATTTTGTCGTGCGCGGTTTCTATTTTGTCGCTTGTCGAACGTTCGGCGTGTCGCAGGTGTGTGCAGCAGACCCATCAAGAACTCAAGGATGAATTTTTTATGAAGAACCGAGCCTTGGTTGTAAGCTCAAGTGATTGCCAAAAAAGGGTACACCTCAAGATATTGAAGATAGTTACATTACAATGTGTAGTGTAACATTTCCATGGGTGTAGGCCCTTGTGGAGGGTAGTTTTGAGTTCCTTCCTGGTTGGGGACAGTGTGGCACCAGTCCACATCACTGTACCTCGGCTCGTGGGGTTTGTAGGAGCTGGGAGTCATTCCCAACTCGTAACTCTTTCTAGTTCTTCCTAATTGTGTGTTCTAAGACTATGTTGCTGCCATAGTGTCGTTCGTTCAAACCGACGCTGTGTCGTCAATTCTTAATGAAATCGTGCGATCTAAATTGCATATTTTAGAAGACGTCAAGGCGCTCAAGATCCAAGTTTAATGAGGTCATTTGGAGCTGTGACCAGATCGCTATGAACGTTTAAAGCCGCTGTGCAGAAATCAAACTGCGCACTCTATCTTTCGTTTAAGGCACATTGAAGCCTATTGTGAATATAACACCTTCCACGTGAGGATGTCAGGACAACTGACCAGCAGGGGGGTGACCAAGATCCTATCTGGTGTAAACATGAAGTAGCCGTAGCTCGGCGCAATCCCTCCCGCCGTCACGTGAGTCGCCGACATCGGCGTTAATCCGCTTCGTCGTCCTCCGAAGTCACCCTGCGAGGCCCCTACAACCACCGACGACTGCATCCCTCGCGCCTGAACGCCGCCGACTTCACCGGCGTGTATCACTCCTCTCAGCCTTGACGTGCCTCCCGCACGGCTGTCGACCTGGTCATCGGCGTGGACGCCTACATTGACACCGCCTGCGTTGTTTACCTGTCGGGGAGACGCCGGTCGGGAGGGGTGCTCCGTCACCCACACGGCGCAGATGCCAGCCTCAACGACCGCCCAGGAGAGAGTCTCCCCATACTCACGGGCATCATGGCGTCACCTTGCGTCTGCCAGCCATGCTTCCAGGGTGTCCACGACGCCCGCCTCGACTACGGGGTCAACCATGGCGTCCAGCGCAGCCGCCGGTCTACGAACCAGCTAGGTGGGTGCAAAGTCGGCTAAACCGAAGGTGACTTCGCGGTGTCTTCCACGCTCACCGCACCATGCGGAGATAGCTCGTACAATGAGAGATTGACTATGGGGAAGGCACGTGTGTCAGAGGGATCTCCGCGTTCATTCACTTAGTCGTTTCCAAGTGCTCACACTGCTTGCTGGCAAGAGTTTCATTAGGAAAACATGACAACAATGATCCAGACTGATGGCAACAACATTATCAGCACACACTACATCCGAGCTAGCTAGGCTGCTGGTCGACCTCCAGCACAGCATCGTCGACCGCGATCTAGCGCAGCAGAGCTCGCACTGCTCCAGCGTTGCAAAGTAGCGGCTCGCCAACGTTGCATGTCCACGATGTGCCAACGCTGCAGCAAGTCGGCTGCACAGCGCTGCACCCGCAGGACAACGGTGCACCTGCTTCGCAGGTGCGCGCGGCTGGTTGGCATCCAACGCCCTGTCACGCGCCCAGCATGGACTTTCCGTCTGTGATGGCGCCACCAGCCACGTCGACCTCAGGATACCACCCCCGAGGTCGTCCTCGCTGAAACCTTCTAGCGACCTTTGCACACGTCACCCAGGTATCCCGGTCGACCGGGCAACCCCGCCTGGTCGTCCTGTCCAGTCGGTCGCTGGCTACACCAAACCCGGCGTCCCAATGTCGACGTCCTGGCATCCAGGACGGAGTCCACTCGCCCAGGACGCTGTCCAGGCGCTCAGGTCAGCGACCAGGCGCCCGAGACGTCGAGCAGACGCCCAGGTTAGCGTCCAGCCTCTTAGGACGCCGTGCGACGTCCAGATCGGCGTCCACCTGCTCGGCGCCCTCCAGCCAGGCGCCCCCCAGCTCAACGCCCTTGCAGTGGCCCCCGTGCCCACTGCTGCAGGTCGGCTGCATCCCCCCACACATCCGACTACGAGGTCGGTCCCGCCCAAGCGAGGACGGGGCCAAACACTACTCCCGTTGACATGATGCTCATGCTGCTGCTGCTGCTGCTGCTGCTGCTGCTGCTGCTGCTGCTGCTGCTGCTGCTGCTGCTGCAGCAGCAGCTAATGATGGCACTAGTAGCATGGGTGGAGATAGTAACATGCCCAACGATGGCATTAGCAGCCCGAATGGTGGCAGAGGGGCTGAGGGAAAGGAGGAACCACTCTCGTCTACTGCACGAATCAACAACAAGGTGGGCTTTAAGTCTTCTCTCTGCATTGTTTGCTCTATTAACCTTTTGAGTCGACTCAAAAGTCAACAGAATCAACAACAAGGTGGGCTTCAAGTTTGCACCTTGCTTTCCTCTCTCTAGTCACCTTCTCACCTCCCTTTTCCAATGTCCGGTATCCCTGCTACCCTTGCCCCTTGCTTCGGTCCATCCTGCAATGGGAGCGGGAGGTTCGGCACGAGGCAGCACCGGACGGCACCCTGGCTGGTCTGGGCATAGATAGTAGGACTAGCAGTAGCAGCTTCGGCGGCAGTGGTGGTGGCAGCAGTGGCAGTGGTAGCAGTGGGGGGGAGGGGGATGAGATGAGAGAGGAGGAGATGGAAAAGGACAAAGCCCAGTGGACGTTGTTGCTCTCAGCAAAGTACTCGTTATAAGCTGGCCTGGTAAGAGCTTACTGGTTGAATATTGTGCATTCCTTTGAGCGAATCTAGCTGGGATGCAATGGCTTTCCCTCAAAAAGATTCTCCCATCCACCAATTCTTCCCTTGCCTGTTCCTGCAGGGGATGAGATAGTGTGAGTGACGGCAGACAGCCTAGTGGGGATACTACGAGTCGTTTATATGCTTCTTAAACTCTCATGTTCCAACCCGTACTCCCTCAACCATTCCTGTAGGGGTTGAGGTAAGATAGTGTGCGTGCCAGCAGGCAACCTAGCAGGAGATGCTACAGATGCTTTTGAGGCTTCATACCTGGCCAAGTGGAGTCTTGCTTGGTCAAGGCGGTTAGACTCGGCCTGGGTCAGGGGCGTATACGCAGCATGCCGTTGAAGTGAGCCGATGGTGCATTCCAGATGTGCGACTGTGCCATCAACGCGGCGCCGTTCCTGGTTGGAGAAACGTTTGAGGTTAAGGGTGAGGTCGAGTTTCCATGAGTCCCAGGAGTCTGGGAAAGGGTTGTTGGGGAAGATTGCGAGGCAGGAGTCGATGATTTGAGAGACATGCGGGCGCATAAGTAGATGCTGTCGGAGGCGCCAGGGGCGGGGGGCAACTGTGGGGTTGATGAAGCTGAGCGAGCAGAGGGGGGCGTAGAGGTGGTCCGTGATTTCCGTGCGGGTCTGGATGTACGGACTAGCAGTGAGGCGGGGGATGAAGGCTTGGGAGATGTATATTCTGTCGAGTCGGGAGGAGGTGGGGAGTGTCGCAGTATTGAGATGTTGCCTCCCGAAGAAGGAGAAGACGTTGGTCGGCGTGGGGAAGAGTTCGCGGAAGGTGTCGAACAGGGCGTGGTTTTCCTTGAGTTTGGCGAATGAGGCGGCCTCACGAGCCTCGAAATCTTTGGGAGGGCGATTCCTATCGATGGAGAGGACGACCGAGTTGAAGTCTCCTGCTGGCATGGATGCGGAGGCGGCGGTGGGGGCTTCCAGTGCCGGGACGAGTGTGGTGGTCCACCATACTCTGCGTCGGTAGAATTGTGTGGGGGCGTAGATGGCGATGAGGCGGATTTGCTCACGCAGATAGTTGAGGTGTACAGTGATTAGCCTGCCGTCTGCAGAGGGGGCTGGAGAGGACAATGAGATAGCCCTGTTGAAAGAGAGGATAGAGACGCCGCCGATGAGCGTGGGCCTCCCTGTGGTGCTCTCGGTAGAGAGAAGTGCTGGGGCGTGGGCGGAGGAGTGAGGTCGAAGTTTGAGATCAAGGTTGGGGATTCTTTGGATGAGCCGAGTGTCAGTGAGTATGACCAGGTCAGCGGGTGCAGGAAGTCTCGCCAACCAAGACTTGAGTTTATCCATTTTGCTTGTCTCGTTGATTCCGTTCACGTTGATGCATAGGAATCGTAGGTGTGTTAACATGGCCATGCTGAGGAGGCCACCGCACGGGAGAGTGTGCGTATCCACGGCTTGGGTCTTAGGGAGGTTTGTTGCGAGGGGAAGTATAGCGGTTGTAGGTTGAAGAGAGGGGTCAGCGCATTGTTCAAAGGCGTTGTGAAGTTGGCTTGGGGGGGACAGCAAAGAGACCTGAGCTGTGGTACTGTGTATAAGTGGGGAGTTGACCTCGGAGTGCGTTTGCGGACGGTGTGTCGCAACCGGCGAGGTTGGGATGGTCGCGCAGGGCGGTGGGATCTGGACGTAACTATTGTAAGCGTGTTGTGTTTGTTGGGGAGGTGTACGTAAACCAGGTACGTGTGTTGGGTTTCGGGTTCTAATTGGATAGGTGGCCGGATTCTGCTACTAAGTTCCCTGGCTAGTCTCCTATGTGCGCAGATGGGTTCTTTATTGGTGAGGCTTGTGTGTAGGCTATTAGTTATCCACAACTGAGGGGGAGGGGCAGATTTAGAGACGACGGTCAACAAGCCTGTAGGGCTGAGTTTTATTGAGTAATCCAGTGCAGCACATCTCAGACAAGACCAACAGCAACATCGAAACAATGGCATGTGTATGACATCTAGGCGCGAGAAGTGCTCTTCAGCTGCTTGAGGAAGGCCTCGAAGCCCCCATTCTTCAGGAAGGCCTCGTAGCTCCAGGAGAGGAACGGCTCTTTGGGAGCCTTGTTGCTTGTGTTGGCGAGCAGCTGAGCGCGGTGCTCTGCGGATTCCATGTGCAGCAGCGCACTGTCGAGCGCAGGGCCACACTCGAAGTTGCAGGCCACATAGGTCCATGGCTCGACGTCCAGATCCGTGCAGATGAAGAGGAGACCGGGGTCGGCGCGGAAGGCGTTGGAGGCGGGTCGGGCTCCGAGGAGGCCTCCTGTGGGTCGGGATCAGTAAGGGGGGGCAGGGGCAGGGGGGTTGGGAAGGGAAGTTAAGGGCAGCAGGTGAGAAGAGGGGGAAGGGGGGCGGGTGCGTGGGGGTTCTGACTAGAGGGCAGCAAGCTGGAAAGATGGGAAAGCAATAAGGTATTGGAGGGGGGGTCAAAGGCATGGGTAGGGGAAGGGAGGCGGGGTGGGGCGCCGTACCATTGGCCTTCTGAAGTTGGGCAACCGTGAGCTGTGATTTGTTGCCGATCCGTCCATTGCGCTTACAGGGGAAGATCGCGTGGTCCTCCACGCGGTGGTTGCTTACGCAGATGGAACAGACATGAGTGGAGATGTTGACAAGGATGTCAGGGTCAGGACCGCCGACGCGAATCCGAGCAGGAATGGTGCGGAAGTCCGGATCCGTGGGGAGCGGGGTTGGGATTCCGGTGAATATGGGGAGGAAGACCCCCTCGTATGGGTCTTTCATGCGGTGGAAGGACTCGATTCCCGCCAGCCAAGCGGGTACCAGGTAAGCAAGGAGGTTCGCCTCTTCGAAGCGAGCAGGGACTCGGCGCAGGGAGAGGACGGGGGCGCCCTCCGCCTTGGCCTTGGTGAATTCGGGGAAGGGGTCAGTGTACGGCTTGACGGAGATGGAGCGGCCCGGCGAGAGCCCGATGGGGTGATTGAAGATGGCCAAGAACTCGTCAGCAGATTGCTGGGTCGGCCAGGAGACGCAGATCGTCGCGTAGGACCGTCCCGCGAGGCGCATGGTCTCGCCGTTAGTGGGGCGGGCGTCGGGGACGTATCCGCATGCGAACAGGGAGGGCTTCAGCTTCGAGAGGATGTTAGCGATGAGAGTGGCACGGATGGCGTCAGCACCTGCTCCTGGGAAGAGCAGGGTAACCACAAATCGGCTGCTCGTCATGAGGACAGGCGGGGGCAGCATCGGGGGGGCCGGAACCGGCTGACGGGATGAGCGCGGCAGCTCGGGTTCGGGGGGCGTCTCCACAAGCGAGGTCACCGTAGCGTTCGTTTCGGCGCTCACGTCGTGGCCGATCGGGGTCGAGGAGCTCGGGCCAGGGATCACAGGAGCCGGATGAAAGGGAGCAGCAGCGCTAGGGGCCGAGGCGGAGGCTGCAGCGTCGGAGGCGTTCGTGCTGGTGGGCTGCGACGCGGGTTTCTCGGGCGTGCCAGCGGGCCCCTCCATAACTCCAGAGGTGGCATCAGCCGATTCGTGGGGTCAGCGTCGACGCACGGTTTCTTGGATGCGGGGAGTTCCGTGGGCGAACGGGTGCGCGGGAGATTGGATCCAGCAGGATCATCCGGGAGATCCATCGCTTTGAGGTCTTCGTCGTTGAGCTCCATAACTTCGTCGAACTGCGAGATGTCAGCCATAGTATGAGGACGAGGAAAAGGAGCAGAGGGTGAGAAAGCGAGCGTGGAGTGGGGTGTTGAGAGATAAGGCTGGGAGGTTAGAAATAGTCCCAGACAACGGCAGGCAGCCGAGAGGCAGGGGAACGCACGGGATAGAGAGACAGATCTGGATGAGGGTAGTGTACCAGTGGGTGTAGGAGCAGGGGACCGTAGAGGTCGCGAGCAGGCGAGGGAGAAGTTGGCCGTCCGGCCCACATGGGGGTCTCCGCATGCAAAATGCGGTGCTTTGAGGTGGGCGGTGCGTGGGGACTGCCGCGTCCGGTTAGGGACGGGGTCAAGTTGAGCAAGGCGGATGCATAGGCATTGGCCATAGCAGTTCCGAGGGGGTGACCGGCAGCCTGAACGGCATTCCGAGTCTAGGTTCCATACCGGCCCGAAGGCACGGCGTGGGGTTGAGGCGGTAAGCAATTTTCGAGGTAGCGAGGGGAGCGAGAAGGTTCGATTTGGAGGGCAGACAGGAGGAGAAACAGACTCCGAGGGCATGCAGGAGGAGCGTGAGCAGGGAGGCAGTTCTCTGGGTGTACTGTGGGGCGAGGAAGGGAGGCCACAAGGAGAAGAGGCGGGGAGGAGAGCCCAAGGCGGAGCTTGGCCTTCCACGTACCTTGGTGGCAGGGGCGTAGAGGGGAGCCCGAAGACGCGATGGTGGCATGTGACTGGAGAGGGGGAGACGGTGCGAAGGTGGCAGTCACACTCACCTGATGATGCCTGACCGCCCGTATCCGGACGAAGGGGTGGCAGAGCAGCAAAGCTGATCCAACGGGGCTGCCAGCATGCCTTCTGACGGCGTGGGCCAATGATTATTTTGGCGCTGCACGTGGTTGGGGTTAGTTTCCGGTCGCATGGCGAGTTCCAGGGTATGAAACGGTGGTACCAGAAAGAGCGAGTGGGGCGGTTCAAGCGCTGTTGCTTAGAGGGAGGTCCTACATTCCGAGAAGCGTGGGGGGGGGGGGGTTTGCACGTAAGGTTGTAGAGGAAGCTTACCAGCGGTTCGAAAAAGTCCAGGTGCGAAGTCGGAAATTTTGGCCAAGTGCAATTGTAGTTGTCTCTGAGCTGACAAGTGTGGTTCGAGTGCGACGAGGGGAGGTGGGCCAAGTGGCGCGTTCGATTGCCAGCGTAGCTCCAAGGCATTATAGTAGCGGCGGGAGTATTTGTCGGAGCGAAGGTGCAGAACGTTTCTCGAGGTTGGCGTGGGGCGGCCGAGTTGCATAAAGTGGCCAAGTTTCGTGGGCCAGGCAGGTGAGGTTGCAGCTAACAGTTGGCGGAGGACTAATGGGTGGCTGTTTGGGGGCACCGTGTGGCTGCATGTGGGGCAAAGGAAAACACCCGAAACACCCAGAACACCCAAAACAAACACGAAAAGGGGACTTAGCCGTGAAAAACTTACCTCGAGTCGGGAGAGTCCTGGCTTGCGAACCTTGCATAATCTGCGGATGGTGTGGCTCTTCCTCGACTTCCGGGGGGAGAGGTTAAGTTCTCGACTTACGGCCGAATTGATGTGTTTGCGACATAGTCGGGGTGGTTCAAAGGTTGGTTTGGTTTAGCTAATCAGCCAAGAAGCGTCAACGTATATCATCCAGCATTAAACGAGCTCAGAAACTCCGCTTCCTCTGCTTTGACAGGACCAGCGCACCCTATATCCACCCTGACCTAAGGTTCTCCTGGCTCTTGGGAAACCCGTTCCGACCACCATAGTCATCCATCGCATAGAGCGTCTCCCCAGGCAGCTGGCGGTTGTCCGAGAGGACAAGGAATAACTTGTGTTCCAAGTGCTCCATTGCGGATGCTGACCACCTCGGTCATGTTTCTAGACTGCTCTATGGATTACACTCTGTACTTTGATTACGATCAATATATAACCTTAACCTTAACTAGTCTGTGCTGGATGGATAAATGGGACACGCATGCTGCAACACTAATCACGTATTTTGGAACTTTTTGGCATTCCCTATTGAGTGCTTCAACATCGCGTACAGCAGCAGCCGGGGATTCTCCAACATTCGCGCGCATTGTTTCACCAAACCATGCACCGCTGGCCCGTCCATGTCAGCCTACGCTTCTGGACTAGCCCAAACCTCTATGTCGGCCTAGCACTAGCTAGCTCGCATGCACCGCGTTACCGTTTGCATGTTTCGCGTATAAGTTTTTGCTCATGCCTTCGCTCATACTTTGTACTTGTTGACTTGTCAAACAACGGTACAACTAGGTTGGCACTACCCGAAAGCGTATGGTACATTGTGAGTTTTTGTCGAAGCCCGTGCTGCATGCTCACTGACACGCACAATATATATAGTATAACTACAAGCTCAAAATGAAAGGGTTACAAAACGTTCATGAGCCATGGCCAAATTTATTATTGTGAATCACCCTAATACATTGATTATCAGGGTGGTTTTTTTTTTTGTCACATGCTTGCCTTGGGGTAATTTTGCCAGGGACCTCCAATTTCCTGATCTGTCAAGGTTTAGGTCTTAAGCACACTTTGGCCGTTGTGTAATCGATTGTCTTAGTGAGTTTTACACTGAAGCAAATACGCGACATTTCCCTCCCCCCCTCCCCTTTGGCCCCTTCCTTGTAACCCGGGATTCCCGTTGGCTATCTATGTCAGAGGTCCTCTGGTGATCCCCAATGATCCTAGGGAAGGGTTACTGGCACGTTGGCCTGGGGGGTTATGGGCGCACTTACCCGCTACACAAACAAGCCATTTTATCCCAATGGTTAGTGGCTGGGATTTTGACATGGTATCAGAGCGAAGGTCTCGGGTTCGAATCCCGGTGTGTGCACCTCGGGCATCCCAGTGCGGGAGGGTGTCAGAGGTCCACTGGTGATCCCCGATGATCCTAGGGAAGGGTTACAGGCACGTTGGCCTGGGGGGTTATGGGCGCACTTACCCGCTACACAAACAAGCCCTTTTATCCCAGTGGTTAGTGGCTGGGATTCTGACAATCTATGTGTACCGAAATAGTTGCGACGACTCTAGATTTGTTGGCATGAAGTCTCGGTATCATTCGTCAATATTACCGCTTCTTTTGTGGCGCCGCAAGTGTCTCAACACGATCTTGTGGTCTCACATGCCAATAACGCTGGGTTTTTTTTAACCAGGCTTGGTGCAGCCGACCGTTGACACCCTTAGGCCTGTCAAACTATAATCATCTGTCTTGTGTAGAGTGTAGTGGGGTAGCCCATGTAGGGTACAACCCCGTTTATGGTTGGCACTTGTACCCACACTTCTGCTCAATGTAATCATTCGTGCTCGTTAGATTATGACACGGTATCAAAGCAGTAGGTCCGTAGGACCGTTTTTTTCGGGCCCATCAATAGCTAGTGACCGACTGCGGTTACCGCGCTACCCCACGCCCTGCCCTGCGTCGCGCCGCCCGCGCAAGCCCTAAAGTGCCCTGCCTTGCGTCAGGCTGCCCGTGCACGCTCCGCCCTGCTAGCCGCACGACGCCCTTGAAAAATGGAAATTACATTGAAATCAGGGTACTCTCCCTGATAGAAACGGCCCTCATCTTGAGGGCATGCTTGTTTGCAAGTGTTTAATTACCCAATGTGTAAAAATTCAGCATTATGGTTACCGTACACGTTGTTTGTAGGAATTTGACTTCCTTACTGTAGTCGATTAATAGTGAACATCCTTTGGGCCACGCGTCAGTTCAGTTCAACCAAAGAATAAGCCCCAGACCACGCCCAAGTCCCCCTTCGCACTAAGGGCGTGTTACATTTTTTACTTGAGACCGTCCGAACGGGCCGTCATCCGAACATTTTGGTGGTTACTTATTTCGTTTGCTTTCGCATATCTTTCGTTAAATTAGGTGCGACGTTGTAAATTGTTCGAAATATGTTTGTGTGTTTTAATCTTAAAGTACACTGTTCGAAGTGTGCTAACAAACCTCGCCATAGCGAGGGTGTTGACCTAAGTATCGAGCTGCTGGGCGCGACCGCGTACAGTGGTCGTGAGCCTCGTGGCAGCTGAGGAGTCGAATCGACAGCACGAGGCATCATCTAGAGTACGCGAAACCGCCCTGCAGGGCGCGGCAGAATACCGCGCCTTTTCGAAGTTGAACAGTCGCGCCAGCGCGACTGTAATAGGGCAACCGAAACGTTACAGCGCAACTGTTATACAGTTGCGCCTTGGTAACTGCCTGCCTTGTATGCTTCCTATGTAACTCAATGTATTGCATGCCTCTTATTACACAATTCTCAAGCTTGTGTCCGACTATCCCTCGGCCGCCGCAGTGGCACCATGTGCCAGGCCAGAAGTGCTACCTCTGAGTGACCAATTGCCCCGCCGTAGGGACGTCGTTAATTCCTAGAGTATTCCCGCTACTCTAGCGACCTCCTAATTTCAGCATGGTATCAGTAGCAAGCGTTCAAATCCTTAGAACCTGTGGGAGCAGATTTACTCAGCCTGGCTCACCCCTTCTTCATCACCAGGAGCATCTTCTGGAGCAGGTTCGACCTGCCACTTCCCACGGAGCATTTCGTGGAGGAAATCTTCAACGCGCCGTCGCATAATTCTGGGCGACTTGGCAAGACGCATTTCAAGGCGTATCGGTGAAGTCCCTGACCAGGACTTCAAAATTTCAACATGGATAATTTTATCTCTCCTGGATTCTACACTTCTAACAGTGGAGGGGAGTGTTGGAAATATGTTTGTGTGTTTTTATCTTGTACACTGTTTGAAGAGTGCTAACGAACCTCGCCATAGCGAGGGTGTTGACCCAAGTATCGAGCTGCTGGGCGCGACGCGTACAGTGGTCTTGACTCTCGTGGCAGCTGAGGAGTCGAATCGACAGAAGGAGGCAGCATCTACAGTACGCGAAACCGCCCTGCAGGGCGCGGCAGAATACCGCGCCCTTGCCGAAGCTGAACAGTCGCGCCAGCGCGACTGTAACAGGGCAACCGAAATATTACGGCGCAACTGTGATACAGTTGCTGTAAGGAATTTTCCGGATTCCTTA